AATGGCCGCGCCCATTTTTACGACAAGAAAAAGGTGGATACTACGTAGGCCTTCTGGCTCCTGCAGACGTCATTACGCCGCTGAGGTGATGCGACGTGCGCCGCCTCCCTTGTGCCTTGTTATTGGATATCCCTCCGCCTTCAGACGCCGTTGTCAAAGAAAAAAACCTGAACTAGTTTGTAAACACCGTCGACGGCAGATTTTCTTGGAGATTTTTAAGATCTCCCAGTCCGTGAAAATGAAGTTTATGTACAAAGAAGAGCATCCATTTGAGAAGCGTCGGTCCGAGGGGGAGAAAATCAGAAAGAAGTACCCGGACAGAGTGCCTGTGAGTCAGACAAATGAGTTGTTTTTGTCAGGGCCCCGCTCTCACAGATAACGTAAACCGAGGCATTACACAGTGACAACGCTAATATATAAGGGAAAAACTTGTGAATATAGTCATTCGTCTAGAAAACAACGAGAAATCATGCATATATGTGGTTAATTAATGAATTGTCATCGTCGTTTTAAGCTGTCCTTAAAATATGAAAGGACTGGCGCTAGCGTCGGTTAGCTTCTGTCTTAATTCGGAATTGTGGCGTCGTTTACAGTACAAGTAATAGAATAATCTATATCTTTTTTAGAAGGATATATGATATAAGATTACGTTTAATACGTATTAAACATCATATTAAGATAGAGCTGGTAAACAGCTTTGTGTCTCTGTGAATCATTCAAATGAACCTTGTTTTGACAGCGTGGAGGACAGAATGACTAGAATATGAAATTGCTATTACCATTACTAGTAGCACATTGTCATGAGGCCTCACACTAGGTTCATTTTCAGTTGCATTATGTGTTGCAACTGAATATCAGTTTGTGAAATTGGTTAGAATAGGAATGTGCCCTAAAATTCTCTATCGTTCTTCCTAACTCATTATTATACTACTAAAAGCTGCTGTTATTCTCGCATTTATGGAAGTGTTTGTTATTACCACCAGAGATTTGTTTTCCACAGGTGATCGTGGAGAAAGCTCCCAAAGCCAGAATAGGAGATCTGGACAAGAAGAAATATCTCGTCCCGTCTGACCTCACAGGTTCATTTTCTTGAAAAATACATAATCGTTTTGTATAATCTTTAATAGTATTAAAATATGAAGGATATGTATTGATTTTTTGTTCTTATTTCTGAAGTGGGGCAGTTCTACTTCCTCATTCGGAAAAGGATCCACTTGAGGGCCGAAGATGCCCTCTTCTTCTTTGTCAACAACGTCATTCCTCCCACATCAGCCACTATGGGGCTGCTTTACCAGGTAGGTCTTTTTAATGTTTGTTCTAACTGAACCTTTTGCACCTGTTTGTTTATATGTGTAGAATTCATAAAATGTCATTTTTGATCAATGAGAACGAAGCATCTCTAAACTCTTCGTCTCTGTTTCTGTGTTGTAGGAGCACCATGAAGAAGACTTTTTCCTTTACATTGCCTACAGTGATGAAAGCGTCTATGGGGACGTTTTGAGAGATATGTAACTAATTTACTTGCCCGACACTACCCTTCCATAAAATAAAATGATCAATATGTTAGGCCGCATGAAGTGTACATGTTGAATGCACTTTCATATCCTCCAAATCTGTTTATGAATTATTGTTCGTACTCTATGCTGCCTGCATATTGTTCCTTCCTACTTAAGAGTTCCTCTTTGCTTTTATGCAGACCTGATACAACCTTTGTCCTGGTCTGTTTCAGTAAATTAGTGGTACTCATATCCATAAAAGCTTTTTCAATGTTCTACACTTCTCCTTTCACCTTTTCTCACTTTCCCTCAGCACCGACATACATCCTGCAGTCACTTTGCTAATCTGTCGATCTTGATTTTGTTTTTTAGCCACCATATTTGCACAGACCAAAATCACGGATAATACTGGACTATCATACCATGTAATGTGTGTGAGTGTGTTTGTGTACCATTGCCAATAATTATTATTTTTAAATCGGTTGGAATTGCTGTTTAATTGAATAAACTGGTTAAAATACTTTTTTTTTTTAAGTTTCTTTTCAATTGAGATGCTGTTGGAGATTGCTTGTTTATGTTTCAATTGTATAATAATCATTATTATTAGGTTGGAGTTCATGAATTGATTGGCCTTTTTTTTTGGGCTTGTTTGTATTATGGATTGATGTGTTTTGTTTTGTTTTGTTTGGTGTCTAGTTGTCATGGTCACCAATCCAAGCTTACCACCATTATAAACTTGATGTAAAAAGCTGCTTGTGTCAGTCTTTAATGGGTCTTGATTTAATAAGAATATCTGTTGTGCACATGGATGGATAGATAGATAGATGGACACATGGATAGATAGAACTTCTGCCTTCCAATTTAAAAACAGGCTTATTTCCCACATATTTACGTATGCTAAATTTAGCTAATAGACATTTTATTATTATATAAATTATTTAAATGAAATTCCTTATAAGAAAAAAACTAAGAAAACATTTTCAAAACAGTTGAAAGCTGGGCTCAGTCACTGGCCTTTTAATTTTTTTTTATTAATACTCAAAAATCAAGAACAGTACACAAATACAACCATAAACATAAAAATGATAAACAATAATAACAAAAAATAAAAACAAAGAAAAAAAGGGGGGTGTTTAATACATTACAAAGTGAAAATATAAAATTGAGAATTATGTCATCAAATATCAAAAATTTAATATTCTTAATATCATTAACGCTGTTTTTACCTTGGAAGAATTAAATTTGGTTTTATAGGATTATGTTGAATTTATTGCTTCCTTTTAATCTAGGCCTATAGCGATTAAGAGTAGCCTATGGTTCGCCTTTACGTGGAACAGCCAGCTTTCGCGAAACCTTTTGGAACGCCCCCTACCTTTCGTTTCACCAATGAGAAACCTTTTGGAACGCCCCCTACCTTTCGTTTCACCAATGAGAAACCTTTTGGAATGCCCCCACCTTTTGGCACGCCCATTGCTCCAATCTGCAGCTACCCCTACTAGAAACTAACCACATTATTAACTGTCTTGATATTTACTTTGAAAGCTGAAGCTGCGATTATGGTAAGGGGCATTACATTTCCGATGCGTGCTTGTGGTGTTCGGTCAATCACAATGCACTGGGTCAGCTGGCCAATCAGAGTAGACTGCGCTTGTCTTTTTAAATTTTTTTTATTAACCAGAACAAAATATACAATATTTTGTATAAACATGCCAGAGTGTACAAACAATTGATTCATTAATCAAAAACTCTATATTCGTGAAAAATATTACAAGTCTTCTTTGCTTTTTTATTAACAATGTTCTCCAAACTGGGGCAGTAGTCCTTAGTCTCTTGAAGAAAATGAATGCAATTTGGCTTGGATCCTGACCATTTCTTCTTATGTATGTGAAATTTCCCCAAAATAATAAAAAGCTGTACAAATAAAGTACAATTATTATTATTACTTTCACTGGAATAATACAAACCCAATTCCAAAAAAGTTGGGACACTGTACAAATTGTGAGTAAAAAAGGAATGGAATAATTTACAAATCTCATAAACTTATATTTTATTCACAATAGAATATCGATAACATATCAAATGTTGAAAGTGAGACATTTTGAAATGTCATGCCAAATATTGGCTCATTTTGGATTTCATGAGAGCTACACATTCCAAAAAAGTTGGGACAGGTAGCAATAAGAGGCCGGAAAAATTAAATTTCCACTGAACAAAAATCACAGGAATAATCAATATCCAAATTAAATCTCTAACAAACTTTTAGCTGGATATATACCATGTAAAATTTTTAATGTAACCTCTTTTACTTTATTTAAACAGTATATTTCACAAATACGCCAAGCTTTATTCCAATTTATATTTCTAAATACATTGGCCCACAATAAGCTTTTATAAGTAGCTGTATCACCTGTTATAATATTCCTAATATATTTATTAGTACAACTTTGTTTAAAAATATCAATGCTTCCTGGAAACATGCTGTCTTTAACATATATTGCCTCAGAAGTATCACTTCCACAAGCTCTTATAAAATGGACAACTTGTTGAGGTATGGCATCAAATACAACAGCATACTCTTTTGGTGTAACTGGAAAACCAAATTTATCCAAAAATTCACTATAAGATAAATTACCATTTGGATTTAGAAGTTGTCTAACTAACACAATATCATTTTCATACCAACTTTTATAAAAGAGAGATTTATTTTTATACTGAATACATCTATTATTCCAAATAACATTTATTTGGGGGAAAATTGTGCTTAAACACCAGCATCCAGGCCAATAAAGCTTGTTTGTGAAATTTAGCTAATTTCACAGGTAGTTTGCCAATTTTAAAATCTCAACAGAAGATCTATGCCACCCATCATGTCAAACAAGTGTTTTGGAAATGTATATACCACATGCTGTCCTTCTCTTTCATGAAGTTAATTAACCAATTAACCTTGAATGTATTGTTTAAAGTTTCAAAATTAAGCACAGATAAACCACCTTTACCCTATGGTTTACATAAAATGTCCTTTCTCAAATAGTGATGTCTATTCCTCCATACAAAATTAAATAACATTTTGTCTAATTCTTTGTACACATTAGATGGCATATCTAAAGCTAACGACACATAGACGGATCTTGATATCCCCTCTGCTTTTGATAGTAAAACCCTACCATTCAGGGATAAATCTCTTTGAAGCCAGATATTAAATCTTGTTTTAGTTTTGTTCATTATAGGCTTGAAATTGAGCACACTGCGTTCATTCTCATCTTTATGTATGATAACACCTAAATAGGTAACTGTATGTTTAATAGGAATACCATGTAATTCTGTTAAATTACATGTTTTATGTGGAAACTGTATTGATTTATTTGTATTCATTTTAAGACCTGATACTGAGGAAAAGTCTTTAATACAATTAACCGCTTTTAATATTT